AAGCAGTACTTTCCCTCATCTGTTTCCATGCAGCGTACATTATTTATTCCCTCTTTTCTTAGTTTCCCAACACCCATGTCAGTCCTGTTTTATAACAGCGGCATTATGCAGTACTTGTCATTTTGTGACTGAGATATTTCACTCAGCATAATGTCCTCCAGGGTCACACATTTTGTATAATATTTCATGAGTTCCTTGTTTTTTCAATGCTGCATAGTATTCCACAGCTTCTCTATCCATTCATTTGTTGATGGTCACTTGGTTGTTTCCAGATCTTTGCTATTGTGAACAAAGCCGCAATAAACATGGGTGTGCACTTATCTGCTTGGGTGGTAGTTAATGGTTTCTTTAGGGTATATTCCCAGTAGCGGAACTGCTGGGTCAAATGACATTTCAATGTCCAACTTTTAGAGAAAGCGCCATACGACCTTTCATAGCGGTTGCACCATTTTACACTCCTACCAGCAGTGAATAAGGGGTTCCAGTTTCTTGACAACCTCGCCAGCATTTATTGCTTGCTGCTCTGTTGAATTCTACTATTCTCATAGTTGTTTTGATTTGCACCTCTCTTAGAGGTGGGGATTTTGAACATTTCTTCATGTGTTTGTTCACCATCTGAATGTCTACTTTGGTGAAGTATCTGTCCATATCCTGCGCCCATTTTGTGACTGGGTTGTTTACCTGTGTGATTTACCACCTCTGAAAACATGCAGTAGTTAGTTCCAGCTCCACAGTACATAACAAGATGGTTTAGCCATAAAGATTTCCTGAATTCTTATCATTCAGTGAAACATTTCCAAAGCCAAAGAAGGAAGTGTTAGAAATCTAAATAGGAATAACTTTTGAGTATTCCCAGACCCAAAACATAACTTAGAATTATTTTAAATAACATAAAATAAAATAAAAATAACACTAGAGTAGTGTTCAGACACAAATCCAAACTATGTTGGCTTAAAGCTGCAATGCTACGTGTACTTCCTGGGATGATGCACAGGCACTGCTGTTCCTAGTGAACGGCTCGCTCCTCAACAAGTGCATGCCAATTATTAGCTTCTGGCCTTTTCTTTTCTTTCTTTTTAATTAATTTTAATGAACGTTTACAGAGACTTAGGGTTTCCATTCATTCATTGTTGCATTTTTCTACCTGCCCAGCCCTCCCCTCCCTTCTCTTTGAAAAGCAAAAGAAAAATTCTTTCATTGTTATACAATCCATCCCCAAGTTCATTTCACTGTGCAGCCTTTGTTCTGGACTACTGTCACGACAATAACATCTAATCATATATCCCTTTTAAACAGTTCTCTCCCTTATCTGTTTCAATGCATAATTAATATGCATGACTTATACATAATTTATCCCACCTTTCTCAGTCTTCCCTCAACCCTGATGCCAGTCTCATTTTACAAGAGTGGTACTATGCAGTACTTGTCCTTTTGTAACTGAGATATTTCTCATAGCATAATTTCCTCCAGGGTCACCCATTTTGAATAATATTTCATGAATTCCTTGATTTTCAATGCTGCATCGTATTCCATTGTGTGAATATACCACAGCTTCTCTATCCATTCGTTTGTTGATGAGCACTTGGGTTGCTTCCATCTCTTTGCTATTGGGAACAAAGCAGCAATAAACATAGGTGTGCTTGGGGGGCAGTTCTGACTTCTTTAGAGTATATTCCCAGCAGTGGAATTTCTGGGTCAAAATTCTGGCCTTTTCTATAAAAGCAAACAATCATTTTCAGATTTCTTTTCTATTAGTGAAAACTAGTACTAATATAGGTCTTTTGTAAAAGCAAAGTGGTATAAACTAAAGTTCTGAAAAGGAATTGCTTCTTATATATTGAAAATTGTATTCTGGGATGAGCCTTTTTCTCCACTATGGCAAATACACAATTAATTTTAGATAATGGATGGAAAACCCGAAAGAGTATTAAATGCAGAAATATTTTAGAATGTAATAATATATTTAAAAGTTTTTAAGAGAAAACTCTTAGAATGCAGTGTGTGTCCTTTTTGAGGCCCAAAACTGCTGCCCCAGTCAGGCTGGACGTCCACAGGAGCAGCAACAGCCTCCGCAGAACTGCAGCGGAGGCTGCAGGATTGAAAAGATATAAACAGTTGAAGAACATTCTTCACAGTGAAGAGAATGTAAATATCTTTTGCATTATTCATTTCATCTGTAAAATGCAGTAAGTTTTAAGTGACTTAAGAATTTTTTCTACATTACTCTAGAGAAATTTTTGTCTATCATTTTGATTAAATAAGCTGTTTCAGGCCTGAAAGAAATAACAGTACTTTCTCAGTCACTAGAACTTCCAGTCTATGTAAACATGTTAACTAAAGATCAAAATTGTTTCATTTATTTACTACTTTAAAAGTTCAACTTCAAGATAACAAGAAAATCCATTTATTTTGCTTCACATATTCTTCTAACAATAAACAAAACACTAATCTAGAATTTAAATTTCTCCCAGTAGGAAAATAAGAACAAACTAAACAGATGTTGGCATACTTCTAATTATTGTTGGCAGAAAATACAGACTACCACTGACCACTGACCAGAGTATTGCTGGCATTTATTAATACTGCTTTAATGACAGAGAACATCTATCATTAGATAGAAGAATTACCATAAAAACACATTATTACCAGAATTAATGCCACTATTAATACTTCGGCTAATTTTGATTTGCTTTATCTGTAAAAGCTTTACGATGTAAAAATGGATGGTCGTCAATCCTGGTGGCCTAGTGGGTAAGGAGGTGTGCTGGGAACCCAAAGGCAGTGCTTCTGTGTCTGTTTAAACCCACCAGCTGCTCAGCAAGAGAAAGACGGACAATCTCCTTGCGCACAATTTCCAATCTCTGAAAACCCAATGGAGGGCCAACTGTAAGTTAGTTTTGACTTGACAGCAATGAAGAGGAAGGGGAGGAGAGAGAAAGAAAGCAAACGAGAAGAAAGGCATGACTATTCCTACTTTAAATACAGCAAAACAGGACCACAACCTCGACCATGAGAAAGGTGATATTTCAAAGTGTTTTCCATCAAATGAAGTAAAAGGTTGGTTTGGATTCAGAGGTGCTTCAGAAGAGAGGCCTGGCAATCTGCTTCTGAAAACTAGAGCTTTGAAAACCCTGCGGAGTTTATCTGTCCACAGGGAGTTAGCCACTTCAGTTCCAAACAGGAAGTCTGGACCACGGATACTAGACCACACTCCATCTCTCCACATGGTGTTATGTCAAAAGGCAAACGTGCACAACATAAATGCAATCTGCCCTCAAGTGCCGTTTACCCAATAATTCACAAAGAAATGATTTCATGAGATTAAGTATATTATGGATGAGAAAGATAGGAAATAAAATAGTTGTTAAGCTTACAGTCTATTTTCTTAATGGACTTTTTTATACAGAAAAGCACTTTCAAGGTTCTTTACTCGACTTACTAGACAAAGAAAGCACACATGAATGTAAAGTACTATTTTTAAGTCTACATTACAGATGCTATTGACAATAGCCCATGCAAGAACATCTGATAATTTGACTTGATAGAATTTTATTAATTAACCTTGTCCAATTTCTAAAATGAGTATGTGCTGACATGTTAATGAGTATAGCTTCTGAAAGCAGGACACAGAAATTTATGACTAAGGAATTAATGAGATTGCTCTCTTCTCATTTCAAAGCATGTATGTCTTTATAAATGCTGTTTTACTATTATCATCACAAATTTAATCAATTCTGTATATAACAATAACAGTTTTTCAACATACCATTTCCTTTATCCTCTGACTCCTAATTGTGCATGCTTAACGGTAAATCTACAAAGGAAGCAAAGGTTATTACAAGACAGGGAGAAAGAAAAGACCAAAATGCATGTGAGAGCAGAATGAGAACTGCACTAAAGCAACAAGAAGTCAAAACAAAGGGGAGAAATGCCAAAATAAAAGAGCTGGGCAGAAGATTTTAAAGGGGAGCCCAAGCGGACAAAGCCACATATTATAATGAAATGTGCAAAGAGCTGGAGTCAGAAAATAACAAGTGAAGAACCTGCTTGGCATTTAAACTGGCAGAACCGAAGAACAAGCTCAAGCTGCAAATTGCAATACTGAAGGGTGCTACGGACAAAATCCTGAATGGTCCAGGAAGCGTCTAAAGAAGATGATGGATCACAAAGTCAATGTATCAAAAAGAATTGGCTGGAGTCATCAGGAAGTAGCATATAACCAAGACACAATGGTGTTGAAGGAAAAAGTCCAAGCTGCACTGAAGGCATTGGCAAAAAAATAAGGTCCAGGAATTGATGGTATACCAACTGACACATCCCAGAAAAACATGCAGCCCTGGACATGCTGACCAGGCTCTGTCAAGAAATCTGGAAGATAACTACCTGGCCAACTGACAGGAAGAGATCCATATTTGTTCCAATTCCAAAAAAGGTGATCCAATGGAATGTGAATCCTCTCAAATAGTATCATTAATCTCACATGCAAGTAAAATGTGGCGGAAGATTATTCAAGAACTGCTCGAACAGTACACTGACAGAACTGCCAGAAATTCCAGCTGGGTTTACAAGAGGCATGTGGCACCAGGGGTAACACTCTCATGTCAGATGGATCTTGGTGAAAAGCAGAGAATAACAGAGGGATGTCTCATGTTTTATTGACTATGCAAAGGTATTTGACCATGTGCAGCATAGCAAATGATGGCTAACATTGAGAAGAATGAGAATCTCACACACTCAATTATGCTCATGTGAAACTAGATACAGACCAAGAAGCTGCTGTGTGAGTGGAGCAAGGGAACACTGCATGGTTTAAAATCAGGAAAGGTGCATGTGTCAGTGCTATATCCTCTTCTTCATACCTAGTGAATCTGTATGCTGAACAAATCATTCAAGAAGCTGCACTTTATGACAAAAAAGATGGCATGAGGATCCGAAGAAGACTCATCAACAACCTGCTTGATGCAGGTGAAGCAACCTGGCTTGCTCAAAGTGAAGAGGACTGGAAGTGCTTATTGCAGAAGATCAAGGAGTGCAGCCTTCAATATGGTTTACATCTCAACACCCAGAAAACAAAAATCCTCACCACTGGGTCAATAGGCAACCTCACAATAGAAGGAAAAGAGACTGAAATTGTCAATGATTTAATCTTACTTGGATCCACAATCAAAAACCTTAGAACCAACAGTCGAAAAAAACCAAAAGAGGAGTTCAACTGTGAAAATCTGTTATCAGATATCTCTCTAAAGGACTGAAGAGTAAGAACATACATTTTAAGATTGAGGTGTGCCTGATCCAAGCCAAGAGAGGAAGAGAGGAAGACCCTGAATGAGATGGATTGACTCAGTGACTGGGGTAATCAGGGTAGGTATGTCAGACATGATGAAATTGGCTCAGGATAGAGCAGGGTTGACAGCTGTTGTGCATAGGGTTGCTATGAATTGGAGTCGCCATAATAACAAGATGACAGAAGAAGAATCAAAGCTTTTAAGTTGTGGTGCTGGACAAGAGTACTGACTATCCAATGGACTGCAAAAACAACAAATAATAAGTTTTGAAGAAAGTTCAAACAGGGCTCTCTATGGAAGCAAGGAAGGGGAAGTTTTGTCTCACTTACTTTGGACATGCTGGGGAGGACATTCATGTTTGAAAAGGTGAAGGGTCAGCAGAGAAGAGGAAGACCCTTAACAAGATAGACTGACACGGTGGACTCTAACAATGGGCTCAGGTATATGAGACACAGTAAGAACGGCACAGGATAGGGTAGGTTCAGAGCTGTTGCTCATAGGGTGTCTATGAGTCACAGTCAACCTGAGGGCACATAAGTCCTCCGCACCTTCAACCATCCTATATTTTAAAATTGTTATTGTTGTGGTGTACCGTCTGGTCAGAACCAACCCACAGAGGACCCTCCAGAGGGTTCTGAGAACCAGTTAACCGTCCAGGAGGAGAATGCCCATCCTTCTCCTGTGGAGCAGCTAGAGGCCCTGAACTGCATGCTTTCTGGATTGCAGTGCAGCTTTTTGGCTCTAGGCTACCAGAGCTCTAAGTCCTCCTCAAATTCAGCAAGTAAGCTTGTGTCATTTGCATAACACAGGTTACTGATAAGTTTCCCTCCCATCCTGAGGCCACATTCCTCTTTATAGAGTCCAGCTTATCTTCTTCTCTATTCTTATGTGCTCAGCATATAAACAAGTATGAAAAGAGAATACAACCTTGATGCATTCTCTTTCTAATTCAAACCATGCAGTGCTCCCCTGCTCTGTTTAACCAACAACCTCCTGATCTAGGTATAGGTTCCATATGAGCACAATCAAGTGCTCTGGGATTTCCATTCTTCTCAATGTCAGCCACAACTTGCACCCACACAGTAAAGCACAAAATAGACATTCTTCTGGTATTCCTTCTTTTCAGCTGGGATCCATCTGATATGAGCAATGATATCCCTGGTACCATGGCCTCTTCTAATTCTTGCTTGCATTTCTGGCAGTTTCTTATTTATGTACTGTTTCAGCCACTTTTGAATGATCTTCAGCAATATTTTGCTTGCATGTGATATCAATGATATTGTTCGATAACAAGTGTTTGTTACTTGCAGTGCAAAGCTTGACTCACAAAGAAAAGTTCCTGCTTCCCTAAAAGGTCCATTTCTCCTGTTTCTGGCAGGCAGAACTCTGCCTTATTTACTGGACACTGTAGGACTCCAACCACTTGGCCAACTCAATATTTTAATGAATTACTCTGTTTCTTACAAGAAGGTTGGAGCACAATCGGGGTAGAAATAGACTAGAAAGCTTGAACCTAGGATTAAGAACTCCCTCATTGCTGTAGTCATTTCCAAGTCACAACTGATTCCCTGGAAGGTGTCCAAGGCTCTAACAGGCACAGGAGAAGACTGCCCTTCTCTCTCCCTTGGAACGGCTGGTGCACGTTCGCTGCTGTAGAAGACTGGCCTTTGGGTTAGCAGCACAATTCTCTATGAACTATACCACCAGAGCTCTTTAATTCTTGATTAGACAATAACAAAGGAAAATAGTTCATATTTTTATGTTAACAGACTTTCTTTAGGGAGCTCTGGTGACCTAGTGGCAAGAAGCTGGGCTGCAATCCCAAAGGCACACTGTTTGGGGCCACTAGCCCGCCGCTCTGAGGGAGATGGATGGGCGGTTTCCTCCCGTGTGATGAAGTGCCTCTGAAAATCTGCTGGAGGATCAGCTATGGGTCAGTTCTGACTCTACAGTACACAACAACAATATCTAAACGTGCATCTACATATTATGCAAATGCTGATGGAACCCTAAGCTGAAAATGGTTTTCCATTACACATCAACATTATGCACTGAGCTGCCTCTTCTTGCTCCCTGAAGGATACTAATGAATCTCTAGAAAGCAGTCATTCTGGCTTTAATAACACTAAAATCCCACAAACTGCCAAAAGAACAAAGGTCTTGGAGAAAGTGCAACTAGAATGCTTCTTGAAACCAAAGATGACAAAGCTTCACCTCACATTCTCTAGGCATGCTGCTAGGAGAGGCTGTTCCTCGGAAAGGCACATTATGCATGGGAAGGCGGAAGGCCGGTGAGAGACAGGAAGACCCTCAGCGAGGACTAACACGCTGACTGCAGCAATGGGCTCACGAGTGTCAGAGGTGATGAGGCTGGTACTGGATAGGACAAGGTTCAGATCTGTCGCTCTCAGGGTCACTACGCTGTACTCAACTGGAAGGCACCTAACAAAAACCACCACCACAAAGTTTCAAAACAACAAATCTGTCTTGGAGGCAATGCAATCAGGATAGGTCCTGAGGGACAAGGATGACGAAATTTTGTCTCCTAAACTCTGGGTGTGCTGTCAGGAGGGGCCAATTCTTGGACATCATGCTGGGAAAGGCAGAGAGGTTCGTTGACAAAGCAGAGACTTCTCATCAAGATATCAGTAACACACACACACACACACACACACACACACAAGATATCAGTAACACACAGTGACTGACAACGGACTTGACAAGGGCAGAGGTAGGAAGGGGGCACAGGACAGTGCAAGGTCCCAATCTGTTGCCATGAGTCAGGCGTCAACCTGACAGCACCTAACAACGGACAGTAAAGCTTCCAAGCAGCCTAGAATCGCAGAACAGGTAATAAACCTTGACTCTTGGCCCACAAAATGATTCCCAATTATTTAAACACCACATAAAGAAAAACAACAACAACAAAACACAAACCACAAACCTAATAGTTAATAGTTTCAATACCTTACCTGAAAGGGTAACAATGCCTTTGGATTGTGGCTGAAACCGCAAATATTTGTTACAAAAGTCGGGAGACTCAAGGGCCAAAAACAAAACATTGCCCAGAAAGTAGCCTGCAGTCTGTCCCACCGAATTGCAAGTGGACGCATAACCCACGTTCTCACGGGACAGCATCGTTAGGGCCCAACCATCCACGGCGATGTCCTGGGTGGCCGCCAGGAATTCGAACAAGAAGAAGGTGACGGTGAGAGCGACCACGTCGGGAGTCCTGCCGTCGCTGTTCCCGAGCAAGCGGTCCACCTGCGTGGACAGATAGATCATGAAGAAGCCCAGGATGTACTGCGTGGGGACCAGCCACGACTTGCGGCGCCCGAAGTTCCTGAAGTAGACGGCATCCACCAAGGGCGCCCAGAGCAACTTGAGACTGAAGGGCCAAAAGACGAAACTGAAGAAAGCCTGGTCCGTATAGCTCACGTTTTTGCTCTGCAAAATGAGCGGAATGCTTCCCGCCAGCCCGAGGGGGATGCCCTGCAGCACGTACAGGAACAGCAGCAGGAGGATGTTGCCGAGCTCGGCCTGACAGCTCCGCGGTGCTCGGGACCCCTCCAGAGCGCCGGGGTTCCGCAGCAGAGCTTCGCGGTCGCCTTCGGCTCCCACCGGCTCCGGAGGACTGTCATCCCACTCGCCTGGCGGCAGGTGACCGCTCTTCATGTCCAGGGAGTGGTGGAAAGTCCCCGGCCGCCGCTGCCGACTGCTGTCCTTGTGCGAGACGGTGGGTGACATCAGAGACGGTGCAGAGACCCGGGTGTGGGTGCGGGGGCTCGGGGTCTGGGGCTCGTCCAGGCTGTCCTAGTGCAGGACCCTCGCCGACTCAGGGAGGAGGGCAGGACGCGGGGCTGTTAAGGGTCCCTTCTGCTGCGGTGCGGGGTCCTCAATGCAGAAGCCAGTGCCCAGGCTGGAGGTCCAGGCGATGCCCGGGTAGGAACCTCCTGGAACAACGCAGAGGAGCCTGTGGTCTCCCGGGCAGCGGCGCCGGGTTCGGGGCTAGAGAAGGCGGCCCTGGTGCCGTGAAGGAACCCGACCTGCAGCTGCTGCGTGCGGACCAAGCCGGACGGCCCTCGACCCGCCCCCAACCCCAGGCGGCAACAGCACTTTCTCCACGATCGTCCAGAGGCTCCAGCGAACTTCCTGCATCGAGCTCCAGGAAACAGCTCTAAAGGGGCCCTTCCCCGCCCTCTAAGGAAGCCAATTGGCTCAGCGGCCAGCGGCCGCCCCGGGAAACAGGGCCGGCTAGGAACTCCCACCTCGGGCGGGCGGGGTTTCCGCGGACGATTAAAGCGGGCGTACCGCGTGCCGGGGCGGGCGCCGAGCGAGGTCGTGAGCGCATGCGGCCCTATGGGAAGCGTGGGCCTCCGTCATTGGCTCCGCGCCACCACGTGACCTCGTGTTGCGTGACGTCTGCGCTCACAGTTGACGGTTGCCAGGGCGACGTGGAGCCTGGGGCGACCCGGCTTCCATGGGTTAAACTGAATCGGGGAGCGGGGTTGTTTTGTGATCCACCAAAGCAAGAAAAGTCCATGCTAAGTGGAGAAGTTCGTGCCTTAAGGTTTTAAAAGCAGAAAATGGTAAAGAAACGTAAAAATTACCCTGTAATGCTTATGACAGGGAGGAACAACAGCTACACGGAGCAGTGACATTTGAGTCAGTCCAGTCTCTATTCCACACGTCCTTTAATGGACTTAAGATTGTGCTGGGTTCAAACTCTGACTCTCACAGCACTTGACCCGTAAATAAATGAGAGTTAAACCTTAAATATTTATGGAAAGGTTGAAGCTGCTCAAAAAGTGGTCGGCTTTTCTGAAATCCCAGTGTAGTGAAGAGTAGCAGAACTGATCTGGGTGGACCAATTTAAATGACATTGGATGGATTGAATGAGTTATACGGCTTGTTTCGTTTAATTTAATGCTACATAGTCGTGTAAGCCAACACCCAGACGCTGTTTATGCATTTTTAGTGGTTTTACTTTCTGGGATCCTTGGCAAACTGTTAGAAGCGTGTTGAGTGGGAAATGGTGGGGAAACAAACTAAATTTCAGTGACGCTCAACAGACAGCTTTTTTCAGTAGTTTTCCTGAACTCGTGTGGTAATAGTAGTACTTAAAAATTTGTTTTGATGGTTAATTTTATGCAGTGTTAATTGTCTTTAACATTTACATTCTCCCCACAGCTACTTTCTTTACCCGTTTCTTGTCTTGAATTAAACTTTTTCTAACACTTCGTATATTTTAGAACAAATTATTAAACCTAAGCCTCAGTTTCCCTGAATATAAAATAAGGACTGTAAAACTTAACTTCACAGAGATTTAAATGATACAACAGGAAGATAAAAAGGGAGGACATATTCAGTGTTTCTCAAAGTTAAAGATTGGAACTAAAAATTCAAGCTTCTGATTGCACTACTGAAGGATTCTGTGGGCAAAATATTGAATAACTGAAGCATCGGAAGAGGACAGAAAAAATTTACAATCACTATACTATGATTTGTTGTTGTTAAGTTCTGTCAAGTCATTTGTGACTCATAGTGACCCATTGTACAACTCTGAACCCTGCTCTATTCTGAGCCAACCTTATTGACTCTGACACACCTACCCCTCCCCACTCCTTTAGTCACTGAGTTGACAGTCTTCCCCCTTCTGCACTGTTCTTCCACCCTCCCAAGTATAATGTCCTTCTCCAGGTCCCTCCTTGCAACATGCCCAGAGTATGTCAGATGGGGCCTAAGAATCCTTGTCTCCAAGGAGCAACCTGGTTTCACCCTCTCCAGGACAAACCAGTTTGTTATCTTAGCAGTCCATAGTATATTCCATTCTCTTCTCCAGCACCATCTCTCAAAGGCATCAACACTCCTTTTATCATCCCTAGTCATTATCCAGCCTCCTGATGCATAACACGTAATTGCAAAGACTATGGCCAGGATCAGCACACATTAGTCTCCAGACTGACTTCGTTGCTCTTCAGTACTCTGGAGAAGTACCTTCAGTACCTGACTTTCCCAATGCAATTCGTCTTTTGATCTCCTGGCTGTTGGTATCAAGAGAATTGACTGTGGAGCCAAGCAAATGAAAACTTAACAATTTCAATCTCTTCACCATCTATCATGATGCTGCTAATTGGTCCAGTGGTGAAAATCTTTGTTTTCTTAATGTTGAGCTTCAATCCGTTTTGTTTTGTTTTGTTTTTTGAGTTGTACTTCAATCATCTTTATTCATTGTCTAGCTCTTTTTTTCTTTTTTTAAAAAATCATTTTAATGAGCATTTACAGAGATTTTGGATTTTCATTCATTCATTGCTGCACTTCTCTCCCCCCCCAGCCCTCCCCCCCCCCCAGTTCGCTCCTCTCTTTCAAAAGTAAAAGAAACACTCCTTCCCTGGAGTGTTCCCCCCACACCCCTCCTACCGCCCCAAGTACATTCCACTATGCAACCTTAATTGTGGACTCTTGTGATAACCATAATACCCTATCATACATCGCTTTTAAATCATTCACTCCCTCATCTGTTTCAGTGCAGTATACACAATTTATCCAGTTTTTCTCCGTCTTACCCCAACCCTGATATCAATCCCATTTTACAACAGTGCAACATGCAATATTTGTCCTTTTGTGACTGAGATATTTCACTCAGCATAATGTCTTCCAGGCTCACCCATTTTGAATAATATTGCATGAGTTCCTTGTTTTTCAATGCAGCATAGTATTCTATTGTGTGAATAATACCACAGCTTCTCTATCCATTCATTTGTTGATGGGCACCTGGGTTGTTTCCAACTCCTTGCTATTGTGAACAGAGCTGTGATAAACATGGGTGTGCATATATCTATTTGGATGTCAGTTATGGTCTCTTTGGCTTCAATCCATTTTGAAGGCTGCAGTTCTTGACCTTCTGCAGCAAGTGCTTCAAGTCCTCCTCAGTTTCAGCAAACAAGGTTGTGTCATCTGCATAGTATAGGTTATTGATGAGTCTTTCTCCAATCTTGATGCCACATTCCTCCACAGAGCACTATGATTGACACAGGAGCATTTTAGGAAGCAGCATGTGATCAAGGACCAGTGGTACCACTGAAGGAGCAAATACAGGCTTTACTGAAGACATTGACAAAATGGTCCCAAGAGTTGATAGAATACCAACTGAAAGAGATACATATTTGTTCCCCTTCAAAAAAAAAAAAAGATCCAAAAGAATATAGACATCATCGAACAATATCATTAATATAACATACAAGTAAAATTTTGCAGAAAATAAATAAAAAACTTCTGAAACCGCATGTCGACAAGGAACTGCCAAGAATTGAAGCTGCTCTGGAAGAGACCATGTAAGTAGGGGTACCTGATAGTAGTAATGTTGATGTTAGATGGCTCTCAGCTGAAAGCAGAGAACACTAGAAGATAGTCTTTGTGTTTTATTGGTTATGCAGAAGCAGCCAATTGTGTAAGAAGGAGTGCAGGAAATATTGGGGCAACAGAGTCTGATCTCCACTCATTTCATAAGGGAGCATTGTCCTTATCAGCAAAATACACAGCACAAAACCAATTTCTAGGAGGTCAAATATCCCCTATGGTCCCTGAATCTACTTCTACTAGTTGCAATTCCAAATGCCCCCGTCCCCAGGGCTCTTAATACTCCACTGTTGGATCTACAATACTATTGCAATGGCCACCCAGAATTTACAGAGCTAAAATCACAGCAATGTGAAATCAAGAGATCAAAAACCACAGCCTTCAACATGCACTGCATCTCAGCCTTAAGAAGAAAAAAGCTCTGGTGGCCTAGTGGTAAGGAGCAGCACTGTCACCCCCAGCGGCATGTGGTTCAAGTTCACCAACTGCTCCACTGGAGAAAGATGTGATTTACTGTCACAGAAAACTTGTTGGAGGGTCAGTGAAGAGTTGCTTCTGACTGAGTGGCATACAACACATAACTGGAACAATAAGCACCATTATGATAGGTGGACAAAAGACTGAAATAAAAGGTTTACTTGGATCCACAGTCCATGATGACAGCAGTCAGAAAAATCAAAAGACATGTTGCATTGGGAAAAATCTACTGGCAAGAACCTTTCTAACATGCTAAGGAGCAACAATGTAAATGTTATGATTAAGGTGCATCTTATCCAAGCTATGATATTTGCTTCCTATGCAACTGAAAGTTGGACAGTCAGTAAGAATGACAAAAGAAGAGTCTATGCCTTTGAATTTTGATATTTAAGAAGATTACTGAATGTCCCATGAATTGTCAAAAAAGCAAGGAAATCTCTCTTGGAGAAAGTACAGCCAGGGTGTTCTATAGAGGCAAGATTGGTAAACTTTGTGTCACATACTTAGGATATCTTTTCAAGATGGATCAGTCCTTGAAAAAAGACATCTTGCTGGAAAATGTACAGAGTGCGAGGGAGGAAACAAACCCCTTAATGAGATGGATTGGCATATCCACTGTAACATTGGACTAGAGCACTTCTAGAGTGGACTGCAGATGGTGAAGATGATAGGGCAGGGTTCATATCTGTTGTTCATAAGATCATAGTTTACTATGTGAGTCATCGTTAACTGGACAGCACGTAACAACCGTAGCCTCCGATAACAATTTAGGTAAGAAACAACACAATCCTTCAGTCAGGATATCATCACATGTATACTTTCAGGCCCTTTGACCTATATAACCTTGAGGCTTTAGTGTTTGAGATCTCTCTCAGTCCTGCCATTCATGGCCCCTCTCCCAGTCTTCCAGC